AGAGAGAGGGAGTGGGGGGGGGGGGCGAGGACAGACGGCAGCACACATTTTACAAGTGACTTGTTAACGAGCGAGAGGATTCCCCACACTACATTTAGTCCTGCCTTGATACTCCTGTCTCCTGCTATTTGGTACAATCTGGAGCTTCCACTTTTCCTGACTATTCCTAGCGAAGTACTGTATGTGTACCAGTTGTACTTAGAAAGATCTTTTAAAGCCTTCCTTATGTTACAACAAGAATCTGGAGTGTCTGATGCTTGTAGCATTAAGTACAGTATCCCCAACTTAGAAATGCAGCCTTAGCCCTTTTGCGATCACATTATGGGCTTTTTTGACCCTCTACTTTTAAAGAGTACCTTACTCCAACTCCATTCCCAGTTGCTTTCCAGACTGTATGGTGTTCCTATGCAGGGTAGTTCCTCCAAGTTGACCTGACTTGGCGATCAGTGGAAGAGAGATATCCCTAATATCTTTCATCAGGATTGTTAGGAACTCTTTGACTACTACTTCAGTATGGTAATTAATCAGGGCACATTCATAGAACCTCCTTTGCTCCTTGATTGATTGTTCAAAGTGGGTAAAAGAGACATATCAACATGTCATTGATGCCAACATACAGGTGAAGATATTTTACAAATGGTATGGGTGTGTGCAACAAAATCAGACCACTCTGGTCACAGAGTACCTACTTCATCTCACAGAATTTTGCCATTTCTTACATATGCAAGCCAGCATGGTGTCTTTTTAGAAATGTTTTAGTGATTTATAGATGAAAATATTTACATCTACTCCTTTTCTGTGCTAGCTAAACTATAGTACTACACTGGACATGCACTGAACTTCTTGATATTGATGCGAAGTTTGAAAGGATTTGAGGAGAGTGTGTTGACTGCCCTAACTTATTTGAAATGCTGAAAGGTGTTCGATACTCACACCTGTACACAGTTACCTCACAGTAGTAACAAATTAAACAAGATGATTGGTTGAAGCAAAATTCCTTTAATGCCAGAGATTACACAGAGCCTTGAACTTGTATACTGTAAATGCATAGAAACATTTAGTTATAGTGTTTTTTCTTCCCTTTTTTCTTTGTATATAGTTTGCACAGTTTTTTTATATACCCTAAAATACTGTATCATTTATTCAGTATTGACATTAATGCCTGTTTGCAGTTGTTTTATTATAATGTCTACCAGGGATATGGATAACATGTATTATGTATTGATGTGCCAGATTTTTCTTAATAAACTTACTAAAAAACATACAATAAAACCTAACTTCAAGAAAATTAAAAGAATGCTGGTGTATGCACGTACCCTAAATGATGCATCTTGATCCGATCATCATCATCTTTCCTGTAGTTTTCAGCAGTCCCTCCAGCGCTGGTGCTGATCACTGATCCAGCACTGAGTGCTGTGTCTTCTGTGTCCCATGGAGTCTGTGCGGGTGCATGCTGCTGGGCTGCCTGCATTGAGCTACCTTGTGTCTCTCCTTGTCTCCTGGCCGAAGATCTGTACTGCGCATGCGCCCGCCCTTGATCCTTTGTTGCCACCCGAGAATCTTCCGGAGTGCGTGGAGGAGACACAGCTAAGCTACTGTTTGGTAAATACATTTTTTTAAAATTGTTTTTGCATGTATCTACTGCTTGCTAGCAGTAGCTATATGCAAAAATATGTGAGCTTTTAAATACCCTTGGTATCAGTGCCTTGCAGTCCTTGTACAGCAGATTGCAAACTGGGAGAGGGAAAAGCATCACAAGGAGCCAATCAAATGTGCTACTAAGTTAGGAACATGCTGAGCTCATTGAACTGCTGCCTCTCCTTTCACTGTCCAGTCACAGACTTGGGGAGGGACATTACCTGTAAATGTTGCCTAATACAACAGATACAATTCAGGTATCCTACCCTGCCAGACAGGACTGTGTGCTGTGTGGCAGAGCTGTGTAAATTTTAGGCATGAATAGACTGAAATACAAAACCTTTAAGTTAAGCTTTATAACTCCTTTATTTAATGGAAGCTGTTGGTATTTTTTTTATTGTATACAGTTTTACAGAGTGGGGAGGGGTTTTATCAGTGTCTATGTCCCCATTGGGTAGATTTTTTTTTTTTTTTTTTTTTTTTTTTCTCCAATTTTCCTTATCCCCTAAATAAAAATTTATTTTTAGCACCCATTACTTTTAAGAGGGGGATCCCATCATGTCAATCACCACTATTTCAACTTCCTACTCCTTTAGAGCCCTTCACATTTTAATTCCTATGTTTTTTTTTTTTTTCTCCTTATCTAATCTAAAATCATGATAGATCTCTGATCTCTTTCTCTAACTAATATATGTTGAGATACAGAGTCAGGTTCAGTAAAGATGGACTAAATGAATGTTACACAATCCTCTACAGACAAGTAAATGATCATTTATAGGAATTACCTGCTCTTCCAAAACAAAATATACACTAGAAAATACACACATGGTGGTGCCAGATAATATCAAAACCAATGTTTCCAAATACTAGAAATGTCTATGCATATTCATAAGCCTCAGTTGTTTTTTTATTTTAGAGGGATTGAACAAATCCCTCTGTCCACCTTTACTTCTCCATTGTCCTTCTGATGCGTGCATCTTTATAAAAATGCGCTATTTAACTACCCTAAGCATTATATTAAACCTTTCATCCAACCTCTACATTTCATTAGTTATTTTGAGTAGCCAGTATAAAGCAAACGTTGTAGTGAACAAAAAAAACACTTGTGGGTTTAAATAATTATTTATCCTTTTGTGGTCCATGTAACTTGGAGGGGTGGCGGAGGTGTGTCCTTTGTGCACATTCCTCTGTGTCATCTCAGAAAGTGGGAGGTATGTATACTGCGTACAACTGTTAAATCATCCTTTCATAATAACAGACGTGATAGGGACTGGCGGTCCTCCAACACTGACTGGTGGAACGGATGGGGGACGGGGCGGGTACAGCTGGCTTTGCCTCTAGATAGGCAGAGACATAATTGTCGGGATCCGTTCCGGCTGTGGAGTCTCATTATACCGCGAGCTGTAGCTCGCGGTATACTGAGCTTTGGGTGACGCGAGGACGCTAGTTTGTGTCCTCCCGTTACCCTTAGGAGAACTATGAGGAAAAGCTCTAACCCCATAGTTCTCATTTAAAGCAGAACTCCAAGCAAAACTTGTTAACCCTAGCAGTGTGGCCATCCCATGCGCAGCAAGGGTTAAGTGCTAATTTCTGTCTCCAGTCCTTCCAGCCTCTTTCCCCTCTTTCCCCCTCTGCTGCAGTGGTCTGAGCTTCCGTAAATCATCACATTCTATACACTGTGTATAGAAGTGAGGATGCTGAGGAACATTCATATGCTGCAGCGTAAGAAGAGACGGGCTTCAGAGACCAGAGAGACGGGCAGCCAGACTCAGCGGTTAGGGTGAGTATCATATATTTTATTTTTTTTAGCACCTAGACAAAAACTAGCGGTTAACCCTTGCAAGTTTTGCCCGGGTTCTTTTTTAAGGTCTCCCATTTCTTTGACTGCTGTCTTATGTCTATAGATAGCCTAGGGGAACACCAGAAGTATGAGTGAGGCGTGCCAGCAAGAGGACACAAAATCAATTTCTGATTCTATTAACCTCTAATTTGTGGTTGACAGGATGGGGATGGTCGTCACTACTGGTTTGCTAATTTATTCCACAGGTATAGAGAGAACAGGTACGTTGCATTTGAAAAAGGTGATTGTAGCCATGTTGGTGTTCTCCTGCAACAACCTAGTTGAGTACTGTTCATGATACTTTTTTATTTGCACGAACAGTTACATTTTCAGGACAAGGTTTCAGGCCCTACCCTGTTCTTCTAAGGTCCAAGCAGTACTCATACACAAAGATTTAGCAAAATGTTAAGAACTGTATATTTCTTCATAACAATTTGTTAAACTTTTGTGTATCATTACTGCTTGGGCCTTAGAATAACAGATTAGGGCCCAAAACCTTGTCCTGAAAATTGAACTGTCAGTGCAAATATTAAAGTATCATGGAGAGTACTCAACTGTGAGTTGAGCTAGCACTCAATTTACAGATCACCGTCATGAACTAAGTGTGTCAGATGGCAGTTTTAATCAAACTTTTTCCTTTTAAATAAAGCAGAAAGTAAAATGCAAAGTTTAGTTCAAGTCTACAGCATTTGATATAAAAGCTTTTATTCAAACATTACCCACTTATCACTTCTTTTTTTTTTTTTTTTATTTGTGAATAAACAGCACGGTTGTAAATGAAGGATTAGAGGCTCTCACCCCCTCTTCATTGGGATTACTCTAGTCAAGAGTGTGTATTCAAGATATAAGGCGCATTTTCCAGTCTAACAATGTTTGTTTTCCTCGTAGAGAGTGGAAGTGACACACACAGAGAAAATAGTTTAAGGGAGCTCATCCATGAATTGCCAGATACCCATTACAGCCTGCTGAAGTATCTCTGCCACTTCCTGACTCAGGTGGTGGAGCGACATGCCGAAAATAAAATGAGCATCTACAACCTGGCCACTGTGTTTGGACCAAACTGTTTTCAGTAAGTTTTTTTTGTTTTTCATCTGCCTTTTTCACAAAATCTGATGACTTTGATATTTTGAAAATGGAGTTTGTCTATTTCTATCTCTCCATCTATCCATCCATCCTGGCTAGTGCTCATTCTGATTCCTCCTGTGCCTAAACAGACAGGTTTGCTGCTTTATGCTCATGTTGATGGTCATTTACTCCATGCTTCTCATGTCAGCCTATGTTTCTCTTCTTCGACCAGTGACTTTGAATTAAATAAGTGTGCTCGTTCCCATACCTGTATACATATTTGGTATTCTTGTTGATCACACACAGAATAAAGCAAAAAGGTGTGGTGCTCAGCATTTTATTCAAACTAAACACTACACACAGCTAAGTTGGGCTACTGGACATGCTCTTGACAGGATGAGCTTTTATTTATGCATAGGTAAGCTATACAAACTCAAGATATTTTATATGCCCCAGTCACCAGAAATTACAAACCCTGGCCCTGTAGCAGAAGTGTACCCACCCTTTCCTTTTGGATTTGTGGAATTACGTAGGCAGAGACATACCTCTCTCTCTTTTATCCTCCTCCCCTCTCCCCTTTTTAAGGACTTCCCTAAACTCTTCTTTCATATCTTTCCTCTTTTTTGTTTCTTGCCTCCTGGTCTCCCTTCTTCATGTGAAGCTGTGGCAATGATACTGCGGAGCAGAGTTGCCACTCATGTAGGCTGTGTCTGCTTGCACTATAGAGGCATGAAACAATGTTACAGGGGACAGGGCTATCTGCTATTTGCAGAGTGGTATATCATGGTGCACAGAATGTATACTGGGGTAAGAACAATTATTAGGTAGGCTTTGTCCTCTGCTTATTTTCATAGCAAATCATAGTTGATTGGAGTGTACCTTTTTAAATAATAAAAATATATAAAACAATGACAAAGATGAATGTACTTTTGTTTGGTTTTACTCACTAGAACTACTAGCATGTGAAATGCAATTAAACTATCACTGATCTTTTTTTTTTCCACAATTTATCTTTGTTCTTTGGACTAAGTATTGATTTCTGAGTTTTTCCCATGCCTACTTGTTTTTTCTGGCTTGTGTGTGATTGATTCCACATACTGGCCTATGTCAGAATTTCAAGCTTTTTAATTCTCCTAAATTAAAAGTGTGTGTGTAGGTAGTTATATATGTCATGTCCTGCTGGTGTATGTGGCAATCTTTTAGTACGGATGTTACATATGTTGTATTTGCGTGATTGATATGCTTGAGAAACAGCAACTCACTTATCAGTATCACATAATTTAGCTGATAACTACCTTGATTATCAGGTTATTTACTGTTCTGTTGATGCTCGTGACTCATTGTACCCTTTGTATAGGGAGCTTCTGCACGCAGTAGCAATATTTCTAAGCACACTTAAGTTTGGCACTACTATGTGCAGTCAAATATTCACAGGTCAGTAACCATCGGCACAAAAAGGTGGTGCCCTCACTGGAAATTTTTGCCTTGTCATGAATTTGGAACAGACAAATTTCTCTGCAAAAATGGGTGTTGTAATGTTATTATGCAATTGTAATATTGGGGTTCACTTTAATAGTTTAGGATTAAAGCCCAATTGAACCTTCAGTTTTAAATCTGCTAAATACATTTCAGGTGCATGAAAACAAATGATGTTCAATGTCTTACAGTTCATTTTTTTTCTAAAACAGCCACAGCCTGAGTAGAAAAGTCTGTCCTCTGCCAACAGCTGCACTTTGTGGGACCCTTGCTCTTTGTGGGAAAGCAGTGATCTCATTGCAGATATCTTGACACATTCCTTATGCAGTCCAACCAATCAACTAACAAAGCGTATGCTGATTGAAGAGCTCTAGTTCTGACTAAGGGGGGGGGGTACCAGGGGTCAGAACTCTACAAAAGAGATCATTGCTTCCCCACAGAGAGCAAGGACATTTCTCTACAGCTGCTGGCAGGGGACAGACTTTTCTAGTTAAGATGTGCCTGCTTTATAAAAACAAACTCCTAAGATTTTGTACCACTTTTTGTTTTTGATGCACCTGTAAAGTACTTGGTGAATTTAAACGGGGATCTTTTAGGGTTTACTTACACTCTAAAGCCCAACAATGAACTTCTTGCATTCACTATTTTTGTCTGTTTAACATAGTATTGAGATTTTGTTGTATCCTGTTTTTTACCTGTACCTTCAGGTCAAGAGTTTTGGTTTAGAGGTTATGTTAGAGTAAAATTTAGAGGTATGTTGATATCAGGGGCATCCCGAGGCTGGGTGACACCCGGAGCGGTAAACGCGTGTCACCCCGCTGAGACATCACCGCACGTGTGCGAGATAACGCCATTGCATACGCTCGGCAGTCTTCTGATACCTGCCGGTGGTCATCTTGGTGATGGACGCCGGCAGAGAGAGGGGCCGCACCCCCCTTGTGACGCCACTGGTTGACGTTAAAGAGGAAGTTTACCCATATCGTCAAAATAGCAACAAAGGAACTTTTTAGACTTTTTAGACTTTTTAGACACTGCAGATGTAAAGGAGCAGGACACCTCTCCCCATGTGCAACGTTGGCCACACAAGCACCATGGGAGGACAGGATGCCGGGGCCACTGGAATGTAAGCCGGCTGACTCCCTGTGTTCAGGTGCAGGAGGGGGTGTGGGGTTGTATTGAAGTCAATTGCACCGCAGCCATGCCCCCCGCCCACAGTGCGATCGCCTGCACCCGGAACACAGGCACATTAGTGCCTGCATTCCGGTCCAATGCGATCTGCAAAAATAGTGCTTGCAGCATTTTTGCGGATCGGACTGGAACGCAGGTACTAATGTGCCTGGGTTTCGGGTGCAGGCGATCAATTGACTTCAATGCACCGCCACGCCCCCTCCCGCCCCTGAATGCAGGTGTTTTTTCGTTGGTAGATCTCATTGAGCTCGTCATTTGAAAAGTAGATCTCCAGACGAAAAATTGTGGGCGCCCCTGCTCTAGATAATTGCAGGCTTTGTATTCTTTACATACCTTATTTTCCTTTTCTTCCCCAGTTCTCTCACAGTGGCCATTTTACTAAGGGAAGATTAATCCATCTCCCTTTACTTTCTGGGACATGGGACTAGGACTTGTGACCATGCACCTCATCAGGGGAGGAAAATGCCTTTTCCCTGAGATCTTGTGAGATTACAGATGAAATGCTAACCTTACTGGTGTGTAGGGCTGCAACAACTAATCGACATAATCGATTATAATCGATTATTGAAAAAGTTGTCAACTTTTTCAATCGATTAATCGGCTTCCAATCAGTTGTCCCTGTTCAGAGCTCCACGCGCTGTGCGCGGCAACCTCCTCACGCTCACCACTGCCAGACCCGCTAGCATCCACGCTCCACACGCCGCACCTCCTCCCTGCCTCACATTTCCTGCCCATCCACATCCACGATCGGCACAGGGACGCGGGGAGATGTAGTAAGGAGGAGCAGGTGTGGGGGGATGACAATCGCCGATAGACAGGTCCGATCTCAGAAGCAAGTTGCTGGAAGACTGCACTTTCCCACACATGGTGCTCTATAATGTATTGCTGGGATTTGTATTTCTCTATAGCTGATGGTACATTGTGCTGTATATTCTACATGGGAATACAAATCCCAGCAATACATTATACAATGTATGTATAATGTATTGCTGGGATTTGTTGTACTCCTCTATAGCTGGTGATATTCTGCATTGCGCTGTATAGAGGACTACAAGTCCCAGCAATAATACATTATACAGTGCAATGCAGAATAACACCAGCTATAGAGGAGTACAACAAATCCCAGCAATAATACATTATAAAGTGGTACAATGCTAAATACCACTAGCTATAGAGGACTACAAAACCCAGCAATAGTACATTATACAGCGCAATGCAGAATGCCGCCAGCTATAATGTACTATTTTGTGGGATTTGTTGTATTCCTCTATAGCTGGTGGTATTCTGCATTGCGCTGTATAATGTACTATTGCTGGGTTTTGTAGTCCTCTATAGCCGGTGCCATTCTGCATTCATTGCTGTATAATTTTACACTTTCCATTTAACTATATTGCACACCACACTATCTTTTTTCTTTTTTACTTCCACCGCTCCAAGCTTGCTCCTGTGATGGACTACAACCTCAATACAAACTAGTAGTCCCATCACTGGAGCCATTTTTTAAACGTTATTTTATTGTTTATCCGATTAACCGATTAATCGAACTTAATAATCGGCTAACTAATCGATTTTGAAAATAATCGTTAGCTGCAGCTCTACTGGTGTGCTCGAGTTGCTTTTATAAGTGCAACATTTGTTGCATTTTATTGTTATTAATCATTAATGAATACATGGATAAATAAAATAAATGGCTCTACGATACTAGGCTATATGTGCACTATACAACAGCAGCTCTGGATGTGCATTTGGGTGATGGGTCCATTTTCATCATACCTTTTAATGATTGTTCTTCCTTGTTGGGTCCCAACCCTGCTCCAGAGGGGCCATGGTTTCCATACACTGCATGAATGACCAAAAGAGGAGAGGGCTATGACCAGCACGCAATAGGCAAGTTGTGCTTGGGAATGTAATCTTACTCTTCCTGAAGTAGTCAAATTTGCTATCAAAAGGCAAATGTGTGAGTCAGTGAAGTAAGCATTTAAAATACTTTTGATTTTTCTATGCTCTAGCTGTCATTTTTTTTAAGTTGGTGACAGGGTCCTTTTTAACCTTAAAGCGAACTTTTACCTTGTTTCACTAAAAATTACATCAGTATGCAGCTCTGCATGCTGATATGAAATCATCTTGCATTCATTAATTAAACAAACCTCTCTTTCTTTTACTTAATTACTGTTTTTCCACTCCCTGGACTTCTTGGGTATTAGGCCTGGTTCACACCTGAACGTTTTGTAGCGCGTTCAACGCTCGACGAACGCTCTACAAAACGCTCAAACATCTAAATCCCATTGTATTCAATGGGTCTGGTTCACACCTTGCCGTATTTCCACCCATCCGAACGCGATACAAAACGGCCTACACCCAAAGAAGTACATGTACTTCTTTGGGGCGTTTTGGTCTCTCGTTTCCATTGGGATACAGCCAAGTAGCCCTCGGAAACGTGCGTTTGTCGCGTTTTTTTTTACTGCGAATCGCGGTAAAAACACGTGACGCGAAACGTGTGACAAACACGCATATTCAATACGCCTAGGTGTGAACCCAGCCTTAAGGTTTCATCACAGTGCATTGCTGGCAAATCCTGTCTGTAATTCTCACGAGATCTCAGGGAAAGGCATTTTCCTCCCCTGAGGTGATGTTACATGGCATGGTTACATGTTCTAGTGACCTACCATGGTTACATGTTCTAGTGACCTACCAGAGTTCCAGGAAGTAAAGGGAGCTATGTTATATATTTGCCCATAGCAAAAATTACGACTGTGAGAAGACTGGGGAAGAAAAGAAAAATAAGGAACAGAGTTCACTTTAGCTCCCTCCTCCCTAACATTATATATTTACTTTTTTTTCTGCTCCCACAGCAATCTGTTCAGCAGCTAGGAGCACAGAATAGCACAGAATAGCTCTGTGAAATCTAGAAGTCTTAGCTTACACAGGACTAAGAACTCCCCATGTGACGGCATTGTTTGGTCCAGTGCTGTCACATGCTTCTCTATACCCAGAAGTACCAGCTATTGCCTTTAGGGCGCTTGAGAAAGCTGATGGGGAGCAAAGAAGAGGCGAGTATATGCTGCTGGAGATGGGGCTGGGCTTGGTTAAAGCAAACCTGATGATTTGCCCTTAATAGGAAAAGCAAATGTTTGCTGTGAGCCAACATAAGTACATTCTTTACACTACTATAATGCAAGGTGTGTCATGCTGACGTTGTGTGTGTGGTGTCCCCGCCCCCCCCCCTCCCCCCCGGTTTAATATACTGTTGTAGTGATCTGTAGCAATAACTATTACATGCCATATATTACACCCATTGAAACACAGGCTATAAAAGCAGTCATCGAGACTGTGTGTTTGTGCATGCGTATACTTTATACTAACCAGCAAAAAGGGTTTGTTTTTATGTATGCTTTGATTATGGTCGTTGGTGCAGATTTTTGATCACTACGACAGAACAGCTGTAAGTTATTTTATCAGTGTCAAGCAGCAAGAACAAAATGTTGCTGGTACACTTGAGAACAACTAGATAAAAATGTAGTCTCCCAGGCCTGTATATATGAACAGAGTGCTCTTAGGTGACTTATTGGTATCTAACCAACCTGAAAGTTGTCTGTGTGCGGATGTTTACAGTTTTTTTGTTTAGTATATAACATCACCCAACATTTGACACGATTTGCTTTATAGGCCATCTATCAAAAAAAGCTTTTTTTAATTTTCTATAATATATATACTAAATAGTCCTGGAAGGGATGTTATCATGCCTCCTACCTGTCACTCTGTGACCTAGTTGAGTTGCAAGTCATAAGTCAATTTCCCCCAAGAACAGTATATATGTAAATAAATGTATATTCCCCCTAGTGCTACAGCATAAAGTAGGCTATACACAGGGGTGTGTGTGTATAAATATATCATATACAGCATATATTTAAATATTCTATAAAAAAAAATCAATGAGGTGCTCCCCACTCCAGCTTCCTCTCAATCGGTGCCGTCAAAACAGGAATAGTGTGTGTGTGTGTGTATGTATATAGATAGAGATACACACAGTATGTATGTATGTATGTATGTATGTATGTATGTATGTTGGCATGCATACATACTTTCTGCCCAGCATCCCTCAATCAGCTGTTTGAAGGAGCAGGTTCTAAAATTTTCAGCCAAACAGTGCAGTCAATCAGCTACAAGTTCCGTTCAGCTGCTGGCCGCTGTCGGAATACATTCCTCGTAAGCGTGGATGGAGGAATCTGTTATATTTTCTTTGTTCACCCCGCAGGTTGAACAAAGAGAATATAACCAGGTAGACCTCCAATGATTAAGCCCAGGTGGTGAAACGCTTAAGAGTTGGTGGTGTCTGGTGTCTGATTTTATTGAATGAATCGCAATCAAGTTTTTTATTTTATGGACACTGGTTATGTGCGACTGATTTTGGAGGATTCTTTTGGGAGGTGAGAGCGCATCTTTTTGGCCGGCACCTTGTGACACGTGCAGTCGGTGATGGAATCGGCGCGGTGAGTTTCTGTTGTCTGGGTGCATGTATACCCAGTTACAAAAACATGATTCCTTATCTCCAGGAATGTAATGTTGCTGACTGCAAGTGTCATGGCATGACAAGACAAAAAGGAAGGCCAAATTAGGATGAGCAATGATTACTTTTGCTAGTGGTAGTCTAAAGAACTCTCAAGTTTCCCCCATTGATGCAAGCATTAAAGGATGAGGCCCAAACAAGATGACATTTTCAAAACCTAGACTGAGCCGAAAAAGCCAACAACTAAAAAAGTTTTATATAATATATAAATGAGCAGAAATTTTATCCTAGCTCACAACGATCTTTTGAGCAGAGGGTGAAAAAATGTTTTCTCCAAGAAACAGCCATGTCTTGTGAACATTCTTGTATCCAAGAAATGCTTTTCCATTACCAGAAAGACTTTTTGATACTATAAAAGTCTAACGATGCCACTAGAACATTCATTTCTCTCTGTAATGGGGGGAAGAGTTCCAGTTGATCACATGACCGGCGTGAACATCAGTAAGCAGGGCAGTGAAAGTGATTTTTTTTTTTTTGAGTCAAACACTGAAGAGAATGTCGGATGTCCATTTGACCATTAGGCACAGCAGATCATAAGAGATCACAAGAGGTGACCTCTCCCTGTGCAGCTAGTGACTTCATATTTTCTTTTTTCCTCTTACGTAAGACAATAGTTATCTCATGTAACGTACAGTGATTTACAAATTATGATAAATTACACCATAAATCTACACATTATCATAAATTATACCATAAATCACGTTGGGCTCTAGTAAAGAGTAAAAATGTTATCTATAAAGAGGTGATCCTAGCAGATGGTGGTTGGCCTGAGTCCCAAAGGTTGTGTGCCTATGGGCTATAGCAATGGAAATCCTGCCCTGTCTTTTGTTAACTGTATGATAAATAATCATTTTCTTTTCTTTACAGTGTGTCTCCAGGTTTTGAGGGTATGAAACAGCAGGAAATATGCAATAAGATTGTGGCAAAGTTGTTAGAATATTATTCAAAGTTCTTTGAATGTGAGCATACAGAAAAGGACGGGTTGTGTGACAATATGGCCAGAATAATTACAGTAAAGGTAAATAAAACATGAGTACCTTTTTAGCCTTTCGGTCTCCAATGTTCACTTGTGAGGGATTTATACAAGAGTGTTAAATCTTGTGCTTGAAGCAAAAACTGATTACACAGAATAAAAAAAAATCAGATTTATAAAGGAAATTCTATAATCATAAAGGCTTTGAAAAGTTAAAAATAGCCCGCAGTCAGAATGCACACATATTAATCTATATTATCTATAAAAAGTAACACAGGTAATTACAATGTTCCCAAACCTCTCCATAGTGTGAAGCATTAGCTGCAGAAGTGTTTCTGTTCCAAGGCCTTAGATTACTTTTTAGCTTTCCTAAAAATGGACTGCAAGTAACTGCTTAGCAAATACTGTAGCTGTGGCACTGCAGACGTATGGGCCTATAGAAGAAACCGTCATTACCAATTAGAAATAATTTGCCAATAATTACCATGTGTTCATGGGTGCTGTCACATACCTCTCATCTTTTTGAAAAGAAAGAGGGCCACCTTTTACCACTAAGTGTGTAGGCAAAGGATTTTTTTATAGGATCCTAATGCACCAACACAAACCTGCATTTAGCTCACCACAACAGACAGATGTGAACCATCAGTCTGTTGTGGTGTGCTGCTTTAAAAAAAAACAAAAAAGAGGTGCAGATCTGTTAAGGCGCCATTTACACATTGGCGTTGAATTAAAAGACTCAACGCTCTTGTGGTGCCATTACTTGTTAAAACATGCTGTTTTGCCCGCGCATTCACGTGCACAAATGCAAGCTCAAAAACTGAAAATGCTGTATGAGCTTCCATTCTTCATTTGTTGCACGTGCGGCAGCCCATTGAAATGAAGGGGCTGAAGCTCAACAAACATGTACAAATGCAACATGCAGTCACGCATGCCACAGGTGTGGGTGAAATGTGAACGCGGCCTAAAACCTGCATTGCTGGGCATTGGTAGCCTATTAAAAATGAATGGAAATAACAGAAATTAATGGAAATGGAAATCCACGCTAATGTGCAACTTCTTTGCTCCGCTGGAACCCTATTGCTCTAACACAGCTGAGTTTTCTGACATTTAGGGAGGCATGTGACTTATTCCTTATTGAAAGCTAAGCCTTGCATTTCACAATTCTATTTACTGTTGTCCTCCCAGGAATATGAAGATAGGTCAGCAGCACGCAATGCTTCAATGTGCAACAAAAGTTATTTTATTGTAAAATTACATCACATAGGTCCAAAGGTCGGCTTATGGACATGTGAGGTAATATTGCCATAACATATCTTTTCTTGCACAATATGCCATTGAGTGCTGGTGAACTATCTTCATATTCTTGAGGTTCTGCGCGGCACCATCCGTAGTGGTCACTACAAGCACCTACTTTGATACTACTGGTGACAACTTCTGTATGGAATGCAGCAGGCATCTGTCGATTTGACTGTTGTCCTGATGATAAACTTAAAACAGACCCGTCACTTGCTTTTATATGGTTAGACCAGATTATGGCATAGACGGATGTGCAGTCAATTATTGTTCTGTGTCTGAGGAGCAAACCATTAAATGAGACGATTGGATCTGTAAATACCAGCATCGCAAAGGGACTTAACTGAAATCCTGTCTTATGAATCATGAAAACATGGCCTGTATACTGTTCAGTGTATTTTCTGCCCTGTATTCAGTGAGCCGTGGAATTATTTAATTTTTTTACTAGGAATGTTAATTATGTATTGTACTTTTTCACAGGAATATAATTCGGAGAAGATGTTAATTCCAACCATATCTGCTGAAATTGAAGTTCCTCCTATATCTTCACGCATAATGGTAGGTTTTATATGTTTAATATATGTTTGTTATGTATAGTGCAGGGATCCCAACATAAAAAAACGTAATTGCAGGGAGGTGCCCCTTCTCATTTCAGGGAGGTGCCCTCTGCTCCTCCCCCCCCATCTGTCGGCGGAGCACCCCCCTGAAATGATGGCAGCTAGCAAACAAGCTAAATCTATCTGCTGTTTTTTTTTATTTTTAAAAAAGTATTCAGACAGCTGCTGCCGTCAGAAAAAAAAAAAAAGCATAGGAATGAATCGCTAGATTGCTATTGGCTATTTCAATTTGCAACCACCAATAGCAAGACGGCTATTGTACCCGCCCTCTGCTGCTGTCAGTCTGCAGAGAAGGACCTGATGGAGAACTTCAGGTCCACCTTTGCTGATTGACAGCAGCAGTGGGCGGGTGCAATAGCTAGTCTGCTATTGGCTATTGCAAATTGAAAAAGCCAATAAAAGCCATGCTATTCATTCCTATGGTGTAGTGGGGGTTTTTTTTCCTCTGACGGCCGGCGGCCCCAATTGTCAGGAAAAAAAAAAACCCCAGATAGCAGGGAAAGGTTTACTCTCCCGGGCAGCCAGGAGTCGCTATCTAGCAGCGGGAGACTCTCAGAGCGTTCGGGAGAGTTGGGATGTCGGATAGTGCAAGGGTTGGAATGTGCAGAACTCCTAGTGACCAGTTGGACATTTTGGATATAACAGATTTGAGCAAACAGTCTAGTAAAAAATGGATTCTGGTTGTTAGTGAGACACGTACAGCTAGCATTTTCAGGAGGTCAGTAGTGACATCTTATTTCTTCTACTCCTGACCAGTTTCCTTTTAAAATATATTTATGTATAATCTCGAAAAAAGATGCTGAATGCATTAAATTCCTGGTAATTTTCTCCAAATGGATGCACCAATACCAGTTTTTCGGTATCGAGTAGGAGTAGGGATTTTTTTTTGTTGGTACTCACTGATACTGATACTGTAAGTCACATTCAAGAAGCTGGGCAGCATGTAATGACTTGTGGCTCTGCTTCCTGATTAGCCGGGAAGCCGGCTCCATGCTCCCTCATTACCAGGTGACGAAGTATGGAGCCGGCTTACTGGCCAATCAGGAAGCTGGGGGGTGGGTAATGACTGGCTGCCCAGCTTCCTAATAATGGAAGTTCCGGTATCTGGAGCATTTGGGTGAGTACGAGTACTCACCCAAATACTCAGTATCTGCACCAATATCGATACTAGTATCGGTACATCCCTAGTAAAATATTATAAAACCCTAAATGTATGTCCACTGTATGACTGTCATTTTAGAGTTAATATTCTATATTTAACACAGGTGCATTCACTGGAACAGCCATTGAAGACCAATAATGATTTTGATAACCTTAACCCCTTCATGACTGAGGCCTTTTTTTCATTTCGACCTACGCTGTACGTCGTCAGTCATGAAGGGGTTAAATTATCCCCAAGATTAAAGCTAGGTAGATTTTACTTGTTTCCTTAAAGTGCATGGAAACTAGATTTGTATGAAGCCTAGATCGATTTGTCTATGAATTGCTATCTTTGCATTTGTGAATGTTGATTTTTCACTTTTCATTGCCTTCCACTTTTCTAGATGAGAGGCTTCTCTGCCTACCCCTAGCGCAGCATTGTCAGTTCTCGCACCAAGCAGCCATTCAAAATATGCTGCCTGGTGCCAAGTGTTAGATTGAGAAGGGATGGGCTGGGGCTATGGCTGCGAGGGAGCTCCATCCATACATGCATTGCTTACAGCTCTGGCTCCCAGCACCTCTACAGGGCGCGCAAGGTAGTTGTACAAGCAATGCACATGTGAATGGAGCTCCGTCGCAGCACAGTAGCCCACACTGGACCCCAGACTGAGGATCCACTCCAGTTCTCATAAGGTATGGAGACTGGGTGGACCTTAAAAAAATTAACAAAAAATAACCTTTTTAGTGTGCGTGTGAGAATGTCTGTGGTTGTTCATGTATTTCGGTGTTTTTGAGGGGCCATTCACACTAGTACAGTGTGTTTATTTGCATAGTACCGTGCGATTAACGCACTGTACCACGCAATTGTGGGGGACAAACGCACCTCCCACCCACAGTTTGTACGCCTGCACCGGAACGCACGGTACCCTAATGCGTTCCATTGCAGTGTGACTTAATGGCCAAGGAAAAATGTAGGTCCTGAGGTTACACAGGTTGATAACCACTGATCTAAGGACTGGTAATCTGCAATATATTTTTTGTTTTTGTTTGTGGTTTGAGATGAATTGGAATGCCAATTGCAAGGTCGTCTTGCTCCCACATTACTACCTGACCTCACGTTTGTTTCTTTAGCTGAATAGACACAAATTTCCACAAGCACGCACTCCAAGTTCCCAAAAGGGGAGGGACCAATTCCATATTGATGCCCATAGATTTTGATTGGAATGTCCAAGAAGCTCATATGATGGATGTGATGGTCAGGTGTCTACAAACTTTTGGCTATATATATTTAGGAATAAAACTAAAAGGGATCAATTAATATGCCTCCTTATTAAAATAGTGTTCCCTTTCTGTTCAAAATAAATGCTTGCAGTGGTTTAGTGTTTTTCAGAAAAATGTGTGTACTTTCATGATTTCATTTGGGAGTTATGGTATTTTGATTCCATAGGTTAGTGGAATTGTTGACAGGATTTCAAGATCTTCCAAAGAATAGAAATAGCCTATAGTCAAGCACTCTTCTATAATGCTTATAATTTCTACTGATTTTGCGAGCTGAAGACAAGTCAGGAAGTAAAAACACAGCTTCTAAAGAGCTTGCACCATGTACCTCTAGAGCTGTACATTCATTATCAAACACAGGCTACACGCACCGTTGCTAAACAATTGCATATCATTATAATAGTACTACATTTTTTTCATTTTGGGAACATTTCCC